TGCACATTAATAAAAACATTTCTGCAAATGCGCCAGAGTTAATAAACACTAGCCCTATTTTTAGGCCTCTGCTCGAAAATTGCATACCCATACTAAAGAGAGTGCATATCTCTAACTACAAGGTCTTTATTAATAATTGTGATGGTATAATACAGGTAAAACTTGTGAGACACTTGCTCAGATGTGTAAGCATTGTGTATGTGTTACTGGTTAATAGTGAATGAAGATGGAACACAGCTCAAATTGAAAAGTTTCAGGTTCGCCTGAAAAAAAAGCACTTGTATTGAAGATATTTATTTGAAATAATGCAGATCGAAGCCTAAAATACTCCACAGACATGTTTACAGTCTCAACAAAAATTTTACTTAGATTGAGTGAAGCAGGCCAGCATACTAGAGGTCTCAGTACGGACAGTCAAGCCAAATTCTCATTTTTGGAACCAGCTGTTGCGCTGCTCTATTCTGATTTTATATACTATATAACTATATATTCACTTGTTTTATCACTAAGAGTGTTCAATACATCCTCATAAAGCAGTTTGGCATCATTTTGAGCCATTTTGAGCTGTCATATCTCTCCTCCATGGAATTTTCTCCTCTCTGTCTCTGTAAGCCTTTGTAAGGCCTGTGATTGGCGGATTTCATCATGTGACAACTTGTTCAATGCGGAAGAGACTCACAAAAGCAGTAGGCGGGTTATTTAGTAGATTGACAGACTTTTAGCCACTAAAAATCTCGATCTCTGAGGCACAACCCCCACGCGTAGAATCATTGGTCCAGCAGGAGAATGCTGACCATTTCGTCATAGAAGCTCCCAGGACCTTCATTTCAATACACACAGAGTGGAGGAGACGGACTATAACGCTGACGCGGATTTCAATAGATTACCTGCGTTTTTCCTCACAAAAATCACCAAAACGTACGCTGCGGTTCAATTTTTTTTCTGTGGAGTGGATTGTTGTTAGTTGGCTTTATATGTGTAACTTTTGAATGGTTTCACGGAGAGGAATTTGGAAGCTGTGATTCGACTGGCGGTCGAATCCTCGTGGTTTTTCATGTATCAATCCGCCATGATAGCTGCCAGCTTTGTGATGGGAGATGCAAACGGAGTGCATAGGTCGCCGATTTTTGGCGGAAAATACGTGATATTGTGGTAAATCTTCTAGTTTGGCGGTCGACCCTCTCGACCGCCATCGAGAGGGTCCAGGCAGCTCAACGCAGCCAAACCCGCCGATCTCCACCACGCCGACCAGCTGCATCCACCCGCCAGAATCCGACAATACGAAGATTCAACAACGGAACGCAACAACGGAACGCAACGCAACAACGGAATGCAGTGCACCAACGCAGTGCAACAATGCAGCAACTGAACACAGCAACTGAACGCAGCTAAGGAACGCAGCAACGGAACACAGCAGCAATGCAGCAACGGAACGCAGCAACGGAACGCAGCAACGGATCGGAGCAACGGAACGGAACGCAGCAACAGATCGGAGCAACGGAACGGAAAGCAGCAACAGATCGGAGCAACGGAACGCAGCAACACAACGCAACAATGGAACGCAACACAACAACGGAAGGCAGCAACGGAACGCAGCAAAGGAACCCAGCAACGACACAACAGAACGCAACGACGTAGCCACGCAATGACGCAGCCACAGAACACAGCAACGGAATGCAGCAACGGAACGCAGCAACGACACAACAGAACGCAACGATGCAGCCACGCAATGACGCAGCCACGCAAAGTATCGCAGCAACAACGTAATGCAACAACGTAATGCAGCAACAACGCAAAGCAACAACGTAATGCAGCAACAACGTAACGCAGCAACGTAACGCTGCAACGTAACGCAGCAACGTAACGCAGCAACGTAACACAGCAAGCAATGGAACGCAGCAAGGAACGCAGCAAGCAACGGAACGCAGCAAGCAAGGACGCAGCAAGCAACGGAACGCAGCAAGCAAGGACACAGCAAGCAAGGATGCAGCGACGCATCGCAGCCACGCATCGCAGCCACGCAACGACGCAGCCACGCAACGATGCAACGCAGCAACGGAACGCAGCAACGGAAAGTAAAGCAACAACGGAACGCAGGACGCCAGCCCCCCCCTGGCCGCCTACTTCCAGCAGCCACAGCATGTCGCCTTAGCCAAGGCACCTGGCACCGAGATGCCAGTGCCCCCCGCCGCCTACTTTTAGAAAACACAGAAAGTTGCCGTAACCGGGACACCTGGCACCGGGATGCCAGTGCCCTCACCCCGTCCACTTCCAGCGATGGACCCACACAATTGGTCAACACAACGATGCCGCTCCCTCTGCCGTCTTTGGGGGGTTTCCACGACGGAAGATGTTTTGCCGTAGACCAGCCTCGGATCTCGCAAGCAGATGCCAAGTCGTTTCCCCTCATGCTATGAAATCTGACCAATAGTAGCCGCAGCCATTACGTGGGGCCACGGATGACCCAGCAAGTCCATCTCTTAAACTCCTGACAACCTAGCAGTCATTTACCCAATCATCAAATGACGCCGCGACACCCGTCCGTCAAGGGCGCGTTCTCGATGCAGCTCACGTCTGGGCCACCGCAACGCCATGACTTTCTCATTCCAGAAGTTGAGAAGATCCGCCCTCCTGCAGACACCCGTCCAACATCGGTTCGGCCATATCCAACGCCGTCTTTAAACCCATAAATCCTTACTTGATTTTGCCGACCATCGACCAGCATAACTCCACTGTCGATAACCCATCTTCCCACGCCTACCAACTTTACACCTCGCCAGCTCAAACGACCAGCGCACGGGCAGGCAACCTGCTCCTCAGGGAGACTTATTTTGGGGATCTGCAAGGCCCGGGAGCCGCAGTGGATCCTCAGCTAAGCCTCCCCCAAACCGCAACTGGCTAAATCTCCATCAACCATTCCTCAACACTCCAAATAATCGACAAAGGCTTGCCTTCGGCTGAAGCAGGGTCCTAGATAGTGAAATAGTAGGAATTTCGAGAGAAACTGACTTGCCTTCTTTTCCTGCATCTTGTTCCTGTTATTTTCTTAATTCTGTTTCAGATTCTTCGAGCATCTCAGGAGTGTAGCATCCTCCTGCTTTCTGAACCATTCTGCTCATCTTTTCCAGCAGCTCAGGGACTTCATTGTGTTCCTGGTCGTCGTTGTCAAAAACATGGTAATTCCACTTGCACGCTGTGACGAGGCTGAAGAGATCTTTATTTGACCGAATATAGGGTTTGATTTCCTCTTTTGGTTTCTGGTCTTCATTGGTGAACAAGATCATAGTGTGAGCATTTGTGTTTTTGCCAAAAGTGCTGCGAATGATTTTCAAAATGTTAATTTCCTCTTCTGTGAATCTATCGCCGAACCTCAGCACCAGCAGGAACACGTGAGGACCAGGATGGGTGAGGGAGATGGATATATTGATCTCTGCCACCACCTCTTCGTCTGTTCTGTTAGGGTTACTCAGACCCGGAGTATCGACAACAACCACTTTTTGGTTGTTAATTTCATTGTCTTTCTTACAGCACTTCATTGTGGTAGCGCATAGACCGTTTGCTATGGGGAAACCACCTTCATTGCCCAGGATGGTGTTTCCTGAAGCACTGTTCCCAACTCCGACCTTTCCAAGCAGCAAGATCCTCAGCTCCGTGACTTTGTCTGTTAGGATAATTCACAGGCGTTAGTTAAACACACACATCCATCAAGTTGTTCACCTAAAAGGAACAGTTCAGGGTCATATGTTCATATTGACACCACTCACATGTCTGAACAGTCAATATGAAGCTACAGCCAAGCGCTTGTTAACCTAGCTTAGCATAAAGACTGGAAACAGGGGGAAACTGCTAGCCTGTCCGAAGGTAACAGAATCCACCTATAGGTGATCGATGTGTTATATAGACTGTTTAAAACAGAGTCTCCATGACATCACCTCTAGGTTTCAGAAGAGCCAAAGTAAGGTTCACAGTGGGAAGCACCGGCCTGTACGGGTGTGCGGTATATCAGGATTATCCAAGTTTCAAGTTCTTGATATTCCGTTTAAAACGGATTCCAGCAGCACGGAGGTTTTCCCAGCGTACACTTCACCGCACAGCAAACCGTATTATTTATATGTGCATGAAAAGCTCTAAAAGGCATCAACACCATGAACATGGCGAGTTCAGTGACGTGAACTAGCCTTGGTAACAGCTAACAGACAGCTAGCCACCCGAGACGCTCATTTATATTCTGAAACTCCACGAGGCCTTCTGAAGTTCATCATGAATTGAATATGTGGAAAGTTTAACTTCATCATACAAATGTACTTGCAGGATAGATTCCATCTACTGAGAGGAGTTAATATTGATCTCAGAGATAACTACTGTCAATTTAATGGACACATTTTGAACTAGATAAATATCAAACATATAATTCCTTTGCTGATGAATAGAATAAAAAACAAACAATAACTGCATTTTATTTTCCTGCACTAAAGTAAAGCAGAGAACACCTGATCATTTCTAACATGACTCAGCGGTCAGAGCCTGCTGTACCTGCTCTGTGGTTGACTGCTTGCCTCCAGCTATTACAATTATACTTATAATATATAATATAATAATATATATATAATTAGACGGAGTAAAAATGTCCCCATCTTCACGTTCAGTGATGAAATCTTGTCTATAACTGAACTTCTTCAGGACATCAACTGAGATGTCTCTCTTACTAGAATTGCAAAATAAAATGAAATCATCACATTCAGAAACAAACAGTAAACATCTGTATCTGTAACCATAACGACCTTAATGAAACTTTCATTACTTTAATTATTTGCATTTAACAGCAATATTGAATCCAAAAGCCCCGTTTGTGACAAATTACATAAGCAAAGTAAAAACAAACAAATCAAGTCTGTGCATGTAAAAATTAGTGCTGGGCAATGATTACAATTTTTAATCGCGATTAATCTCATTGTTATGCACAAAGTTCAATAATGAATTAAAAAGTAGTGTATTGTGCACTTTTATTTTGAAAGTGCTGCTCTATGAACTAAAGGTGAATAACATTGTGTGTAAACACTTTAAACACATCAGGCTGTTGTTAGCAGCAGTGTTCTCTTCACACAGCAGCAGTTCTATCTCTTCACTATCTGTGCTCAGTGTGTGACTGTGTGTGAAACGTTCCACTGCTGTGCAACAGGAACAACATGTTCCACACGTTCCATCTACATGTGTGTGTTGTGTCTTCATGACAGTCAGAGCATGTGATGCAGCTCTACTCTTCATCACTATGATGCTG